CATGGTCGCCATCGTAGCCAGGAATAGCGGAGACGCCGGGGACTGGGGGCCGTCTTTTTGCGTCGTTACTCATGGGGGGTATATTGCCATAGTTGCCACGCTTGGCGAGCGGGTTAGCAACCTTAGTTTATTTGTAACTATACGTTTGTTGTTATCACGAAGATGCTGCTGCCCATCTCCTGCCTGTTTCCCTCTGTCGCCTTTTACGACACCCACGGGAAGATATGGGGTAGTGGATATACATAATATATTTATTTTCTACAAATATTTATATTTATTATCGTTTTCTTTCCATAATTTGTTATTATTCACCCGAAAATTCACAAAACATAAACATAACTGGCTATGAGAGAAAGAGAGAAAGAAAATATGCGCGCGCACTGGTCTCTCTTACTTATTACCCCATTCTACTCCCGTTCGCCTCGTCCGATCACACCTTTCGTAACGTTTTCGTCACGCGTTTGCCAGCTTACTCCACAAGTCAAGCGTGGTTAAAGAAGTTTTACTTCAAAAAGAACTGCAGTAACCAACCCGCTTACCAAACCTGGCAACTACGGCAAATGTATCCCACATTTGCCACTCTATGAAGTAATCTATTAGGAGGCCTTTTTTCAGTAGTGGACTTTGTACAACAGTAACGATGATGATATTATATTATTGACAGTATATACAGATAATGAGGGCCATGTATGAAGCAACTTTCAGAGGGATAGGTAGTGACTACGGACTTCCACTTAGCACGTCCATATATCCATATCTACGTATCAATCTTCGGTTCAGGGTACTCTCAATTGGCCCATTTTCGATATATCACTTAATCTGATTAATAACTGTTATCTCTATTCTCAATATAATATAATTAAATCAATTGCTGTCCATTAGTTTCGCGAAAACTCGAAATAGGCGCCATCGATTTCGTTTTTTTTGTATCTATTTGAGTGGGTCTCTGGATGGTTTAAAAACTCAATTAGACCCGGTAGGTGGCGGCGTTAACAAAATCCAGAAATCCAGTACAAAGCGGGGGCAGATCGCTAGTAAATACTAAATTACAATTATTATTGTATTAAAATCAAATAAAACTAACAGGCGAAACAAAGTAGGCTCCGCGGATAAGGGAAGCGAGGAACGCGACGAGGTACAGCATCTTCTGCGTAGTGACCTTGCAGGCGCGTAAGAAAGTTGGCGCTTTCAGGCGCCGGTACTCGGTCACCACGCATATCGTGAGCTGGACTGCGCAGACGAACGCAACCACCAGAAACACCCCACCAATGCCTGCAAACAGTAAACACAATGGTTAAATTGGCAATAGCTTTTTAACCAACTTAAAGTTAAAAGTTACAGCCCAGTAACTACGGCGAGCTCTAATATTCGGTAGTTTGTATAAAGTTAAATTATAACCAACTTAGTACTACAATATAGTAGAGGTAATTAATGAGTGTATTTAATTTTTTTTAATGTATGTAACATGATATCACGTAGGTATCGTATTAAGAAAGCTAAAGTTTACTAACAGTATTTTTTTTTCATAATACATTACTTATAATATTTATGTTTATAGATGGGATAATTTATAAATATTGAAGAATTTATAAATATTTTCAAGATTACGTAAAAATAGCACTGTAATAAATAAAAAAATAGAGGGCGGGAATGCTCATCACAGGTATAAAAAACCGGTTTCAAATTTCCTTACGATTCTCCATTTAGATTCTGTAAAGAAAGGTTCTGGTTAAGGTATCAGTTTGAATACACCGGTTCCAAAATACTATTTTAAAAACCTTTTTATACCATATCGACGTGCGGCCGTGTACAGTTTATACATATACTAGCTCGCCAGGCAGACGTGTTCTGCAATTTTCGACGAAAATTAGCAAAAAAAAATAGTGAGTCACACAGGGGCAAAAAAAAATCCTATCTCTCAAGTTGGATCAAATAGCACACAGTGGCTAATTTGATTAAAATCGGTTAAGTAGTTTAGGAGTCCATCGCGGACAAACAACGTGACACGTAATTTATATACATTAAGATTATTATTTCAATCGAATATTCATATAACTTGCCAGCATCTGTCTTTCCATCCGAATACAGTGTGGGTGTCTTCAAGGCAATAGGGTTTTCTTTAGCTTAAGTCAGTGCGCTTCACCATCTTAGGCTCCATCACCACTTACCATCCGGTGGGATTGCAGTTAAGCGCTGGCTTAGAATAATAAAAAAAACATAACACAACGTAAATTATATAACTCTTTAACCAAATCATTTCATGACTGTCATACCACAAAAGTTTAACTTGCTTCACTCGTTTTCGGGTAAAATAAATGTACATTGGGTACATTTACCGAAATTTACCGAACATGGGACAAGGCTCTAACAAACGACTGTATGACCGAATGACTGAAAATAAATCCAAGAACGCCGAACCTTAGAGAGAGGAATAGAGCACCTATCTCTAAGCGCAGAACTTAAATTAATCTGACTGGTAATGGATAGTATCACGAAATATTTAAAAAAAAAAACAGGAAGAAGCAGCAAATGGACAACAGTATCCGTGCGAGGCTATCGATTGCGCTCACTAACACGCCTTCCATCCGTCATTAAAATAGAAAACAGTATAATTGTTACACGAATTATATAATAAACCAGATTTAAAATAATTATAAAATAATTACTGATATACTTTATCTATCTATATATAGCTGATATTGTGCGTAATAAAGATATACGAAATGCGGAATGATAACTAATAGAAAAAACATCTGCATCTTAATTCGTGGCTATCATATCAATTTAAAATACTTTATTATCGTAATAACAACGCGAACGATAGCGCGTAACTTTAGTTTGACCTAAAATAAATAAACAACGTGGAATTTACTATACTTAACACACTCTTCGGCAAACACTCCCCAACCTTATTAAGGTTTTTAGTAGATTCACAAATTAATAATATTATATGAAATTCTATTTTTTCATGTTTATAAGGGCTCATTATAATCCATACACTTATAATCTAGAAGTCTAGAAGACAAATAGAGCCACGCTTACGTGGTAGAGCCACGTTGCAGCTATATTATAATTCTAGCACAGAATAAATAATATTACTACGTACAGAAGGTGCACTCCTTTGACGTTGACTGCTTGCCGACGTTTAATAGCCTACATAATTACTATTAATTAGATAAATCACGCACGCAAGCTAAATAAAACTTTATCGCTGCGCGCGAGTGTTACTAAGGATGTCAATAAAGAGTAAAAAAAATACATTGCGAAATGTTAAATCAGGTACTTAGGTGAAGTACCTATTCTGACTGATGGACTGACCACATTTTCGCACCTATGTAAGTTCTGCGATGCTGAACGGATGCAATTTGAAAAGCCATTCGTCGGGAATCCGTAAATAACCCTGATATACGATTCCCAACAGAAATGTGATCGTATTCTTCTTATTTAAAAATCCTGTTAGTAAACAAAGTTTTAATTTCAGTATTTTGTATTATTATTAAGTACTTAAAATATTTTAATTGATAATAAAATAAAATATGATTAGAATTTTGATTTCGGGACTACGCTTAGGGAGGAAAGATGCGTTAAAACAACAAAAATAAACCTGACATACGATTTCTAACAGAAATTTGATCTATTCTACGGAGTTAAAAATCTTGTTAGTAAACAAAGTTTTAATTTCAGTATTTTGTGTTATTATTATATAAAATACTTTAATTACAAAAGACCAGTAAAGGTATGTAGGTAGATACTTGAATCGTGAAGTAAATTTCAAATACGTTTTGTAATAAAGTACTTAGTTATTACTTCTGTAGATAAATGATTACTTTATTCTTTTAAGCTACAAGTACCTATCTAACAAAAAAAAATATAAATTCACCTTTCATAACTTACTACAAAATCCTTAGATAACTTAAAGAATGATATATCTGAAACATTTTGCTGGTCATTTAGCATTTATCCACGCAACAGTTATAGTAGGAACGACTTTTTGCCATTACAATTGATCAAATAGGTAATATGCATAATATATGTATATATAATTTTTAAATTACATTAAAACATTTGAACTATTTTACCATACAATTAAATAAACTAAATAAACAGTATTTCATCAAGTATTTACAAGAAACTATATACGTAAACAGCGTCAAAAATCTTTAACATTCAATCGCTTACAAAGTGCTAACCCCGACTGTGTATGTTACCCTGGGTGCCTCGCGATTGTAGGTAATTATTTTACGCAGGTAGCTAGAGTGACAGAGGGCTGGTTGTAGCTCGAATGGGTCGGCTCTACCGGGGAAGGACCACGCTCTCACAGAATACTAGCGTAAAATAGCAGCTTAATGCTGCTGTGTTTCGTATAATGAGTGTTGAGAACCGAAGACCCTTTTTACAAGATATGAGGTATTCCAGGCGTAGCGTATCTCGCACAGGCAGGGGCCGTTCATGCAGTCGTAGTGTTGGGGCGCATACTCACAGGCGTGGTAAGGCATGTTGGGGCCGGCGCACTCGTCGCCGGCGTAGCGTATCTCGCACAGGCAGGGGCCGTTCATGCAGTCGTAGTGTTGGGGCGCATACTCACAGGCGTGGTAAGGCATGTTGGGGCCGGCGCACTCGTCGCCGGCGTAGCGTATCTCGCACAGGCAGGGGCCGTTCATGCAGTCGTAGTGTTGGGGCGCATACTCACAGGCGTGGTAAGGCATGTTGGGGCCGGCGCACTCGTCGCCGGCGTAGCGTATCTCGCACAGGCAGGGGCCGTTCATGCAGTCGTATTGTTGGGGCGCATACTCACAGGCGAGGTAAGGCATGTTGGGGCCGGCGCACTCGTCGCCGGCGTAGTGTATCTGGCACAGGCAGGGGCCGTTCATGCAGTCGTAGTGTTGGGGCGCATACTCACAGGCGTGGTAAGGCATGTTGGGGCCGGCGCACTTGTCGCCGGCGTAGCGTATCTCGCACAGGCAGGGGCCGTTCATGCAGTCGTAGTGTTGGGGCGCATACTAACAGGCGTGGTAAGGCATGTTGGGGCCGGCGCACTCGTCGCCGGCGTAGCGTATCTCGCACAGGCAGTGGCCGTTCATGCAGTCGTAGTGTTGGGGCGCATACTCACAGGCGTGGTAAGGCATGTTGGGGCCGGCGCACTCGTCGCCGGCGTAGCGTATCTCGCACAGGCAGGGGCCGTTCATGCAGTCGTATTGTTGGGGCGCAAATTCACAGGCGTGGTAAGGCATGTTGGGGCCGGCGCACTCGTCGCCGGCGTAGCGTATCTGGCACAGGCAGGGGCCGTTCATGCAGTCGTAGTTTTGGGGCGCATACTCGCAGGCGTAGTAAGGCATGTTGGGGCCGGCGCACTTGTCGCCGGCGTAGCGTATCTCGCACTGGCATGGGGCCGTTCATGCAGTTGTAGTGTTGGGGCGCATACTCACAGGCGTGGTAAGGCATGTTGGGGCCGGCGCACTCGTCGCCGGCGTAGCGTATCTGGCACAGGCAGGGGCCGTTCATGCAGTCGTAGTTTTGGGGCGCATACTCGCAGGCGTAGTAAGGCATGTTGGGGCCGGCGCACTTGTCGCCGGCGTAGCGTATCTCGCACAGGCATGGGGCCGTTCATGCAGTTGTAGTGTTGGGGCGCATACTCACAGGCGTGGTAAGGCATGTTGGGGCCGACGCACTCGTCGCCGGCGTAGCGTATCTCGCACAGGCATGGGGCCGTTCATGCAGTTGTAGTGTTGGGGCGCATACTCACAGGCGTGGTAAGGCATGTTGGGGCCGGCGCACTCGTCGCCGGCGTAGCGTATCTCGCACAGGCATGGGGCCGTTCATGCAGTTGTAGTGTTGGGGCGCATACTCACAGGCGTGGTAAGGCATGTTGGGGCCGGCGCACTCGTCGCCGGCGTAGCGTATCTCGCACAGGCATGGGGCCGTTCATGCAGTTGTAGTGTTGGGGCGCATACTCACAGGCGTGGTAAGGCATGTTGGGGCCGGCGCACTCGTCGCCGGCGTAGCGTATCTCGCACAGGCATGGGGCCGTTCATGCAGTTGTAGTGTTGGGGCGCATACTCACAGGCGTGGTAAGGCATGTTGGGGCCAGCGCACTCGTCGCCGGCGTAGCGTATCTCGCACAGGCATGGGGCCGTTCATGCAGTTGTAGTGTTGGGGCGCATACTCACAGGCGTGGTAAGGCATGTTGGGGCCGGCGCACTCGTCGCCGGCGTAGCGTATCTCGCACAGGCATGGGACCGTTCATGCAGTTGTAGTGTTGGGGCGCATACTCACAGGCGTGGTAAGGCATGTTGGGGCCGGCGCACTCGTCGCCGGCGTAGCGTATCTCGCACAGGCATGGGGCCGTTCATGCAGTTGTAGTGTTGGGGCGCATACTCACAGGCGTGGTAAGGCATGTTGGGGCCGGCGCACTCGTCGCCGGCGTAGCGTATCTCGCACAGGCATGGGGCCGTTCATGCAGTTGTATTGTTGGGGCGCATACTCACAGGCGTGGTAAGGCATGTTGGGGCCGGCGCACTCGTCGCCGGCGTAGCGTATCTGGCACAGGCATGGGGCCGTTCATGCAGTCGTAGTGTTGGGGCGCATACTCACAGGCGTGGTAAGGCATGTTAGGGCCGGCGCACTCGTCGCCGGCGTAGCGTATCTCGCACAGGCAGGGGCCGTTCATGCAGTCGTAGTGTTGGGGCGCATACTCACAGGCGTGGTAAGGCATGTTGGGGCCAGCGCACTCGTCGCCGGCGTAGCGTATCTCGCAGAGGCAGGTGCCGTTCATGCAGTCGCCGCGGCCGCTGCAGCCCAGCGCGCAGCCCGCGCCGCGCGCCGCCGCCGTCATCACGTCCGCGTAGTACGCTAGGAGTGAGCGCATCTTACGCGCGACGCCGTGCGCCGCTCAACTGCACTGAAATCAAATTATATCAAATTAGTTTTTAAGGCAACGTGGCACTACTTCTTAACTTAAGAAATGAAAACTTCTTTAGAATTGTTGCAATTTGAAACTTAATGAAACGAAAAAGCAACATTAAAAAGAGACAAACATATACATCTATCTATAGGATTTAGCTTGCAAGAGAATGAGATAGAATACAGTATACAGTGTTTCCTATTATCTCGGTCTCCTTTTCACATCTACCGCGTGCAAACTGCACACATGTTTACTATTTTCGAGTCTGTGGAGACACAGATTTACATTTAAATAAACTAGTTTTAACGGATTTTATCGTGTTTATTAACTTACTATATATTCCCGATGCGACGTTTCGAGTACTTTACAGCACCCGTGGTCACGAGGGGAACTGAGGTGTTCACGTCCCAATGTCATAGTTAACAGATCATTACACAGATTTACAGTATAGTATCACTACAGTACGGTCACAGTCTAACTAATTAGTCATTGAGGGCGGCTAATCGCGTATTTGGTAAAACAAAAGGAGTCCCGATTTTTTATGACGTCCGACGCATCTAAGACACACATTCGGGCCCTGATCCAGCTCCATTTCAGCGTCAAAGTATTTATTTTATTTGTTTAAACAAATGGTGCCCCAAGCTCAACAATTTTTTTTATAAACCATCGCGAACAATAGATACACATTTGAGTCCTTATCCAGCTGATTTCCACGTCAAAGTATTTATTTCCGCAAATATTCAGAGATTTCGTCAATTATTTATTTAATTTTGTTAAACAGTGGATTTGATGCGCGTCTATACATACCTGTTACTCGTTGCTCTGTAAACTTAATCTTAAAACAGTGGTAAAAAGTGATCGTTCAGTGATATAAAAAACATTCTTAATAAGTTTAGAAGAAAATCTACATTTTGGCCAAATTTGTTTTCAAAAACTCGAGTGGAATAAAGAGATATCAGTGTTTATAATTTAAAATAATTCGTTAACGTATAGTTGAGTGAAGCGAGCTCGCCAACGTACATGAGTCATCGTTGCTCTGCAGTGCCGCATTCAAACGTGCAAGTGAACTTGCTTCGTGCTACGTTTATTAACAAGTATAGTACAACTTATACCAAATAAAAAATATTATGTCGCAAACTAAATCTAAGTTTGGGTGTTGTGACCGACTGGGACCTGCACCGCACAGCTTAGTATGTAAATTATGCAAGTACAAATATCACTTGAGCTGCGTTAATATACAAAAATCATTCAAGGAGTTAACGGAAGAATATAAGTCAAATTGGCTATGTCCATGCTGTCATAGTAAGATCCCGAAAACTGATAATACTAACACCCCAATTAGAGCGGTTCACCAGCAAACGACAGTTAGTGAACAAGAAAAATTATCGCAAAACGTAAACACCAGGAGAGGAGGGCGAATAGAAAAAATATCTTCATTGGAATCAGAATCGAAAATATCTATACGTAGCATAGTGAGGGCAGAGTTAGAAAATATACTAGATAATTTTAAAACTAATATTTTAAAACAGTTTGATCTCAAGTTAAAGGAGTTAGTAGATAGTTTTAAACGAGTGTCTGATTCCTTGTCTGCAATTGAGAAACAGCAAGAAATTACTAAACAAGAAGTGAAATCTAACACCTCACAAATAAAGCTCTTAGATCTGAGAACGCATCCTTACGATCTTCGATTGCAGAACTCAATTCCAGACTCACGCTAACAGAACAGCATTCTCGAGCTACTAATTTAGAAATACAAAACATTCTAGAGCATAAATCTGAGAATTTAATAACGATTGCTAAATAAATTGCTGCCACCGTGAACTACAAATTAAATGAGTCAGACATTCACGTATGCACAAGAGTCACCAAAGTAAATAGAGACAGTCCACGCCCGCGGTCAGTTATTGTGAAATTTAGCTCGCCCAGAATCAGGGATGAATTTCTGCAGTTTAGTTAAGATTCAATAAAAGAGCTAATAGTGTTTCTGAAAAGTTAAACTCATCTCATCTTGGACTTGGTGGAGAAAGAAAACCAGTATACATTCTGGAACATCTCTCACCTACGCAAAAAGCAATACACGCAGCTGCACGTCTCAAGGGTAAGGAATTAGGATTCAAATTTGTCTGGGTAAAGGGAGGAAGAATTTTTATGGGTAAGACTGAAACATCCGATTATAAATTAATTAAGAGCATCCAGGAATTATCTCAACTACAATAATTTATTATCTTCGTTTTTAATATCTTTTAGTTAAATATATATACATTTTTTTCATTTTTTTTTTCTCTTTAGTTAATTTTGTATGTTAACAGATCACTTAAAAATCTACTATCAAAATGTAAGAGGGTTAAATACGAATTTGATAGATGTACGTCAACAAATACTTAATAACGATTACGATATCTACATTTTTACAGAAACAGGGCTTAGTAGTGGATGCTTCGATTCCGAAATTTTTGTAAACGGCTATGCTGTATATAGGCGGGATCGCGAGATGTGTTCGATTTCAAATGCAGGAAGAGGAGGGGGTTTACTGATAGCCGTATCGAAACAGCTAATATCAAAGCGAATCACTGAATGGGAAAGTGATTGCGAAGATCTATGGGTAGTAATTACAGTGCCAGACCTTTCGGGTAAAAATAGGATCTCGATAAGATTGGGTGTCGTATATCTACCACCTCCAGTAACAGATAACACTATGAATATTTTTACTGAGAAGGTAAGTTCTATCCTAGAATCGAGTGATGAATTCAAATACACATTAATTGCAGGGGACTTTAATATGAGCGGCATATCTTGGAAACCTTACGCCAGCAAAGACCAGGACAACTGTCTTGTGCCATCTGGGTATGGAAGCCGTGAACTCTTATGCAAATTTATAGATTTTATAACACTAAACGATATGAAACAATACAATTGTGTGACAAACATTCAAAATAAATTACTAGATTTAATTCTTTGCAATGAAGGAATATTAAATATTTCTGAATGCTTACACCCGGTAAGAAACATAGATAAATATCATCCAGCTCTTGACATCACAATTAAAATGGTTAAAATAAATAAAAAAAATTTGCTCCCCTCTAGACCTAATTTTCATAAAGGTGATTGAACGAGTCTATAAAAATACCTTAACTCGATTTCATGGGAAGATGAATTAAATTCCTGTAACGATGTTAATAACATGATTACAAAATTTTACGCTATTTTACACAATGCAATTAGATTACATATTCCAATGACTAAAATAAAAAACAATTCATACCCTATTTGGTTTTCTTCCCATTTACTATACTTACTAAAACAAACAAAAAGCATATTTATCATAAAAATTTTAAAAAATATAAAAATCTGCTAGATGAGATGGAGTTTATTTACTTAAGAGATGATTGTAACAAACTTATTAAGGAGTGCTGCAATAATTATATTATTAGAATT